GTGCAGGGACACTGCTGGAAGAGAGGTACCCGGGTGCCCACCCACTCCAGAGCCCAGGCTGGGGAAAAGGGGGGACACACACCGTACCCAGTTTTTGCATGCAGGCGTGCAGCCGTGCCTCCAGCATCAGCACCCGCTGCTGCAGCTCCTCATAGTCGTAGGCACCCATCTCCTCCTGGATGGCCAGCAGATTCCCGGAGAGGTTCCTCACCTCCTCCTTGAGGTGCACAATCAGCCTCGTGTCCGACTTGTACTGATCCAGGACGGGCATCAGCGGCAGCAGCTCCGTCATCTTGTCCTTGAGTGCCTGTTTAAGGGGTACAAGGGAAAAAAACCCACCCCCACCCCCCCTGCCTGGTGACACTTGTCCGCCTGCCTGCTGCCCACCTGCCCATCCCTCCGGGGTAGCAGGGACTTTTCCCTATTCCCTGGGTTTCTAATTAATAACAATTACAAGGCCATTGCATCTTCCAAGTGTTTGGGGAGCGCTAATGAATCCCCCATAGCATTGCCTGACTCTATGGAGTGGGAAGCAGGCAGGATCCAGCCCCACTGTGGGAGCACAGGGTGAAATCCATCCCTCCCAGCCAGCCTGGAGCAGCGGGATGGCTGGGCACGGAGTGATGCTCTACACAGGGAGGCAGGAAGGTGGAGGGATGGTGCCAAGGGAGTGAGAGTAACAGGCAGAGTTCTATGCCAGGGGCAGGGGTTAAAAAGATCCGCTTATTTTAGGAGAAGGTTAAGAGGCGTTTTGGGAAGGATCCAAGCAAAGGCCAAGCAGGTCCCCAACAGCTGACGTGGGAACAGGGTGAAAGTAGGGAATGGGGAGAGCATGCCAGGGATGGGTGATGGCTCCAGGCAACGGGTGCCTGTGCACCAGCACCCTGCATGCCGAAGGGATGCTTGGCCTTGGGAACCCCACAGGGATGTTCAGTTCTGGGATCACTGCAGGGATGCTTGGCCATGGGATCCCCACAGGGATATTCAGTTTTGGGATCACTGCAGGCATGCTTGGCCTTGGGAACCCCACAGGGATGTTCAGTTCTGGGATCACTGCAGGGATGCTTGGCCTTGGGAGCTCTGCAGGGATACTTGGTCTTGAGAAGCCCATGGGGATGCTCATCCTTGAGAATCCCACGGGGATGCTCAGCTCTGGGATCACCACAAGGATGCTCAGCCATGGGAGCTCTGCAGGGATGTTCAGCCTTGGGAATCCCATGGGGATGCTCAGCTCTGGGATCACCACAAGGATGCTCAGCCATGGGAGCTCTGCAGGGATGCTCAGCCTTGGGAACCCCGTAGCGGTGCTCAGCCTTGGGAACCCCGTAGTGGTGCTCAGCCTTGGGAACCCCGCAAGGATGCTTGGCTCTGAGATCACTGCAGGGATGTTCAGCCTTGGGAATCCCATGGGGATGCTCAGCTCTGGGATCACACAGGGATGCTTGGCCATGGGAGCTCCGCAGGGCTGCTGAGCCTTGGGAACCCCACAGAGATGCTCAGCTCTGAGATCACTGCAGGGATGCTCAGCCTTGGGAACCCCACAGGGATGCTCAGCCTTGGGAACCCCACAGGGATGCTCAGCGCCGGGAACACTGCAGGGA